TGGTGTTCTAGAAACTGCTTGTTAAATGATTTAGTTCAACTTGACAGTTGGATCATTAGTGAAACTTTTGTCTCAGTTTAGTGCTTGTCCTGTTATATTTTGGTAAACTCCCAATTTTTTATCATGACCCTTGAAGACTTAAATATAACAAATCCCCATTTACATAAGCTAGATTGACTGGATCTCCTTTTGTTGCAAACATACAAGCTCTACCAAAACAGGCTGATTGAAAAAACATCAAAGGCACAAACTAACTACTGGCTGCCAGTATGTTCCAGACACTACACAGCAAAAGATGAGTTATGCTTTATTTTATAAAACTAGATTAAAATATTTTAATGTTTCTTTAGAAGAATAAATGCCTGTGAATAGCTAATGAAATTACTTCAAAAAATAAGGCTGGTTCAGAATGAATTTAAATGTATAATAATGCTTAGCCAAAAAACCAGAAAATACACTAACATTAAAAAAAATTTTTTTAACATTTGTTTATTTTTGAGAGCTAGAGAATGAGCAAGGGAGGGGCAGAGACAGAGGGAGACACAGAATCCGAAGCAGGCTCCAGGCTCTGAGCTGTCAGCACAGAGCCCGATGTTGGGCTCGGACTGACAAACTGTGAGATCATGACCTGAGTCTAAGTCGGATGCTTAACCAACTGAGCCACCCAGGAGCCCCTACACTAACATTTTAATAGAGTGTAACCTGAAGAATTAGAGGGAGAGTGAAGACTATAACATTTTTTGTGCCATATATTTTGTACTGTTTATTTACAAGAGGTAAATGTGTGTGTGTGCGTGTGTGTGTGATAAAAAAAGATTTTTTTCAAGACAACCAAAGTAGAAAAAAAGGAGATTAGTACAGGGGACTTCCCTTACCAAAAATTACTTGAAAATCATTCCAATAAAAATAAAATATATTGTTGGGGCACCGAGGTGGCTCAGGCGGTTAAGCGTCCGGCTCAGGTCATGATCTCGCAGTTCATGAGTTTAAGCCCCACGTGAGGCTCTCTGCTGACAGCTCAGAGCCTGGAGCCTGTTTCAGATTCTGTGTCTCCCTCTCTCTCTGCCCTTCCCCCACTTTCACTCTGTCTCTCTCTGTCTCTCAAAAATGAATAAACATTAAAAAAAATTAAAATATATATATATTATCACAAAAGTAGGTAAGCATCAGAGCATACATAAATGATTTAAGACTGTGAGAACTTTATATAAAAATCAAAATGGATTTTAGGTTCAGGTTAGAAAATATGCATTTTAATATCATAGGCAATGCCAGATTTCTATATCATATCACATACAAGAGTACATTTCAGATGATTAGAGAATTTAATGAAATATATAAGTAAAAGCCCAAAATAATAAAATTATATTTTTGTGTATATTTATATAATGTGGATAGGGGCAAACTTTTCCAAAGTAGTAAACCCAGTCCCTGTGAAAATAAAAAGTTAGATGTATGTCCCTATGTACAAAGTAAAAAGGTGAATATTTTGAATGGCAAAAGGCCCCCCAAAGAAAGTGAAAATACACACAGCAGACTGGAGAAAATACTGCTGTAGAAACAAGTAGTACTTTTTATAAAAATGCATACACACTTATACATTATAAGAATTGGATAAAAAAAATCTCAAAACGGGGGTTGGTAGAGAAGAAAGGGGAGCTGCTAAATTTAGATTTTTTTCCTGATTGTTTTTGCTAAAGATGAACGTTTCTCCTTTGTGTTTGTATTTGTTAATGCTACTGAAAACTCCCTTTCCAAGATCATCTGACAAACTTTAAGATACTTTCTTGTTTATTTATTAAGATATGAACTAGATGCAAATGGACGGTTTCGTATGGCTTCATCTTAGCTGCTGATACACTGCAAAATTTATCTTGAATTGGCTATTTTTCTCTATATTCCTGCCCCATCAATTCAAGCTACTGTCCCTCGCCTACCTAGATGGGTACCAGGTTCTCAGAATTTGTCTCTCTACCTCCATTTTTGCCCCTTAATCTATATATTTTCCAACTGGCAGCTAGACAGAACATTAAAAAATGTAAGTCATATAATAGATAACCCCTTGCAAAAAACATTAGAGTGTCTTTCTATTGCACTTAAAAATAACCTTATCAGGGCTTACAAAGAGAGTGAAAACATTCTGGTTTGCACTGACGCCCTGAATAATTATTAGAAGTGCCCTGTTTCATTCTCAAAAGTATTCCAGTCTGAGCAATACGTAATACAGTTGCCCTAATTGTAAGCGTCTGCTGGCTTAAAGGTTATGTTTTCAGAGAAAATTCTCCCTCATCATACTATCTAACAGAGTACTCATTCATAATGCTTTTTCAGAGCATCTTTTTGTGATCAGATCATAATTATGATTATTTACTTTTGTCTTGTTATTATCTAATGAAGGGAATGAATTAATTTATAATTAATATTATTATTTGCCCTACGAGGCAAGGACCACATCTCTGTTATTTTGTATCGTATCATCAAGACCTAGTATGGTGGTTGACACCTAGCCCATGCTTAATCGAAGTTTGTTCAATAATCAATAATTTGGACTGATTGTCAAAATTTAAGCAATGTAGGGGCACCTGGGTGGCTCAGTCAGTTTAGTGTCAGACTCTTGATTTGGGCTCAGGTCATGATCTCATGGTTGGTGAGTTCAACCCCACATTGGGCTCTGTGTTTTTTAAAGTTTTCTGTTGGTTAAAGTTCTCTCTAGCTGCCAATTGGAAAATATATAGGTTAAGGGACAAAAATCTGGAGGTAGAAAGACAAATTCTGAGAACCTGGTCTTCATGTAGGTAGGCAATGGACAGTAGCTTGAATCCTCCTTGATGAGGCAGGAATATAGAGACAGCTCATGTGCCCCCTCTCTCTCTTTCTCAAAACAAATAAACATTAAAAAAATAAAACTTAAGTGATGTAAGTAATGCTTTTTGTTTTCTTTTTGAAAACTTGGCCTATACATTTGCTAAGATGTCTTCATGTCTCATTATGGGCACATTTAAAAATACATGTGGTATTAAGTTTTTCTTTTTAAGACGATATATATCGTGATGATTAAGTATATCAGTTCTGGAGTAAAATGAAACAAAAAAACACCCCCCCCCCAAAAAAAAACCCATAAATTGTTTTCCATTCCAGATCTGCTATTTTTAATGTGAGCTGGTAGTTAACATGCTTAAAATGCGCTTAAAAATATTTAAATAGGACTAATGAACTCAAAAGGAAAAAAGGAGATATGCTAACATAGTGCTTAGCACATCATGATCATGCAAAAATCATCAACTATTTATAATTTTATGACTTGCTTGTGGAAAATCTGTTTAATGAGTTAGCGACAGCAAAGTTTTCAATTCAGGTCAATTAGACGTTGCCTGTCTATCACAGTTCCCGGTTACTTGTAAACAATCAACAAAAGCACAAATATCAGTTGTTTTCCATTTCCTTTTCCCCAAATGCTTTGTGACCCTGCTTTTTTTTTTTTTCTCCTTTCTTAGTCTGAATTGATCAATATTGGAGTATTCCATTTATTTTTCTCCCATTGGTTTGCTGGTTCCACATCTTTACTATTCTTTTGGTAATCCTCCTAGAGATTAAACATGTGTCCTTGGATTATTAGAACAAATATAAATGAGTACTTTTACCACACTGCGGTCAATGCTAAGACTTTAACACGTTGAACTCTGCTAAACTTCCCTATCCCATTAGTACCATTAGTGTTATTGTTGTCATGTATCTTAGTTCTACATATATTTTAAACCCCATAAAATATTATTCATATTGTGATTATTATTTTGCATCATCAGTATTCCTTCAGATTTGCCCCAAATTGAGTCATATAATTTTTTTTCTGCATTTTTGTGTTTCTCTTGTGGATCATTTTCCTTCTGCTTGAAGAACTACTTTTAGCATTCCCTTTCATGTCGGCTGCTGCTGCTGAACACACTTGGTTTTTGGTTATCTGGAAATGTTTATGTTGCTTCACTTTTGAAAGATGGGTTTTTTACTGGTTGCTGGATTTCTTTCTTTTTTCCACACTCTGCTCATATCATTCCATTGTCTTCCGTCTTACATCTTTTCTGTTGAAGAGTCACTTCTCAGCATTATGGTTGTTCCTTTGAAAATGATGTATCTTCCTTTTTGGTCTCAATTTTGGGATTTTCTCTTTCTCTTTGGTCTTTAGTTGTTTTACTGTGATGTGCGTAGATGTGGTTTTCTTTTCAGTTGCCCTGTCTGGAGTTTAAAACACTTTTTGAACTTATGGCTTGGTATCTTTTATCAATTGGAAAGTTCTTGACATTTTCTCTTCAATATTGCCCTGGCCCCATTTCCTCTGTCTTCTTCTGGAGGGAGATGGCATTATATGCATGCATTATGTATGGCGTGTATATATGTATGTATATGTATACTTTCATTTTGCCCCACATATCACTTTCCCCCTCACTGTGTCGTTTCTATCCTTTTGTTCTCCAGGCTTCCATCAGGTTATTTTATATTCACCTAACTTCTAGCTCACCGATGCTTTCCTTAGCTGTATCTTTCAGTTTGTTGTTAAGTCTATTCGGTCTTTGTTTCAATTATTCCATTTTTCAGTCCTAGAATTTCTATTTGATTATTTTTTATAGGTTCCTATTATCTGGTAAAATCCTCCATCTTGTCATCTATTGTTTTAGATTTTAATTCCAGTATAGTTAACACACAGTGTTACGCTGGTTTCAGGTGTATGATACAGTGACTCAAGAGTTCTATACATTACTCAGTGCTCATGATAAGTGTGCTCTTAATCCCCTTCACCTAGTTCACTTATTTCCTTGAACATATGAATACATTAGTATTTTAATCCATAGGGACGATTTCAATATCATGGTCATCTGTTAGTTTTTATGTATTTACCAGAATTTTTTATTGAAATTATAGACACAGTCTATAGTTACATAGGCTAATGTCTAAATGGTGGTCTAAATGCTAATTTTTATGGTGGTCTGTATCTTTCTGTGTTTCAGTGAAGATTGAAATGGATAAAGAAAACAGAAGTGAAGGCAATTTTGAAGATTTGAATTTAAAAAAAACAAAACAAAACCCAAAAAACGTTGACAGGCAGGTATGTGGACCAAACGACCCAGGGATTCTCCATTAAGATTAAAGAACTTCCTGTATGTTTCCAGTTCTCAAATATCAAAACTGTTACTGGCAGACTGCTGCATGTCTATAATATCACTAAAAACACTATTCTCTTTTCAACTCATTCACCGAAGTCAGACCATTTCTCAATACAGAATACTTTCATCTTTTCTATTGGGAAAACAGAAAATAGATGGGAATCTGCATTTTGCTTAAGATGTTCTGAGATTTCATCCTTGGTACTTAACACCACATTTCTTTCCTTAAAATAAAGAATATACAGCTAACTGCAGCTACTTTAGGGACCGAGATTATAATCACCATGCAACTTCCCTTAGAATGAATTCACATACATACATGCCATGGGATTGCCCAGTTTGAATGCCTGGCAGACCTGGAGACTGACGGCATTTTGATAAATGATGCACATACATAATTTGAAAATCCAAAATGCACTGGCAGAGATCAGGAGATGTTTGTGTTAATGAAAGCATGATTTTCTGGATCAAAGCAGACAAGGGAGGCCCAATTCTCTCAGATGAGGAGGGCTGCAGAATATGTTTAGTGAATGAAAAGAGAGGTTGATGCAAGATGAGCTCTTTAAATAAGGGCAAAGTACTTTATCAATCCAAACCAATTCCGAATAGTCCGTCCTCCTCTCTGGAGGACACTGGGAGGAAAGGTATGAAATCAGCATGCTTTTTAAAAACTCTAAGTAAGTATATCAGGCCTCTCCAGTGGGGTACTTACAATCCCAGTCAGCTGGTATGAAAATCTGGAGAAAGAAATTTTATGTTTTATTTGAATGTAAATTCTCCTCAACCTAACAGCCAGGACATAGAAGACAGAGAGAGAGAAACATGGGAATAAAGGTGGGAGAAGGGAATAAAATATGAGAGAAGGATGTGAATTCAGGGGTTTCAAAAGCCTTGAGAGGAATGGGGAAGGCACATGATGTCTTGAATACAGTGATAACTCAAGTGTATTATATATTTAGTGGCACATGTTTCAGATTAGTCATTCTGTGATGAATGAAGACAAACACTGGGCTGGGACATATGATGGAGAGCAGAAAAGGAAGAAGGGATAAGGAAAAAAGAGGTGTAGACAGTGGAAGCTTTCTTTGTTTGGATCCACTTACTGGCTTCTGGTAAGGGCAGTGGATTACTTAGGACTGGAATTGGTTGTCTTGTTTCCTGAGTAGTGCCTGAGGGTTTGTTTATTTGTTTGTATTTTTGGCAATTCAGTCCCAAGGGTGTTCTCACCATGGTACCCCTAAACTATCTGTCCCTATCTTTAACCACTATGCTCTATGGGGGAAAAAAGAGTGATGCACATTTCGGCTCAGGCTAATCTACAACATCCAAATATGAAACCAGTAATACAGGGCAAAATTTACACTCTCCAGATAAACGTTTCAGAAAGGACTTTGTTTCTCTTTCCTGCAAAGTACACACATAGCCATTAACTAAGATGTTTTATGATAAAACAAATTGGTAAAGTTAATATTGTTAACTTGGAAATTACTTAAGTTTAATGAAATTAGTGCTATGAGACAGCTATTATCTTTAAAGAGGGAGAAAAAGCTCCTTCCAAATGCCAGGAAGTTGACAAAAGGTATAATACATCCAAGCGAATCATTTTTTCCCCACTGTATAGGATTGTTACACTTACAGTACAGGAAAAAGGGGAACAGGGCTTTGAAAAAAATGAATTTTTGCTGGTCAAAAGTCTCAAAGAGTTATGTAATCAAAGGAGAAAAGTATGAAAATAATTAGTCATGTCATATTTGAAATACATGTGTAAGCATGTCCCCAGAGAAGGCTGGTGTATGTCATGTATTTAAACTCAAGTTAAGCTGATAAATGATTGTAAAGTGTTGCTTAGATCCCGTATTTGCTATTCTTGCTTCTGGAGACACTGGTGCAATTTAAATGAAATAGGTAAGTGGAGGCATTCAAAGCAACAGACAAACATGTGGTTTCTGCCCCACTCCAAGGGGCAAACCGCATTCCTTTCCTGTCCTAACGGATTTGGAGAAGGGAGAATATTAGTGTCCAGCAGAGGTCGCAGTGCTGGAGTCAGGTATGGTTCAACAACCACCTACTGGCTGAAAGGAACCGGAGAACCTGAAGACCCAGAAGTGGTGATAATAAAAAGGCCCGGCCTCTTCCCATAGTTAGGAAGTCAAATCAATATTTGACCTTCAAGCCCCCGAGCTCAAAATTAAGTATACAAAACCAACCATATTCACCTGCCTAAATACTTGTGATTTTTTTTTGAAGTATCAATGAGGAGCTCTCAGCTATTAATTTTTCATAGTTGCCTTCAATCAACAAGAGTATGTCTTATATACCTGTCTGTTGAGTCAATTATTGTGTGTGTGTGTGTGTGTTTCTGGCTTATTCTAGGTTTATTCCATTTAAATGTTGAGATACTAGGTCTTTAGCAAGTTGGCCGCACATGTGAGACCAACCTCATCATCTTCATCAACCTCATCAACCTCTTCATCTTGTGAGACCACCTCTTCTGGGCAATAGTAGGTCCTTACATCAGCTCTATGGAAGCATCAGAAAGTCTAAGGAAAAGGCAAGCAGGTTTTGATCCTGTGGACAGTGATGGGTAAGCAAGCACAATGCCTGCAAGGACAGGGATGTGGTAGGAAAATCTGGATGATATAGTTATAAAATTTTTTTTTCAATGTTTATTTATTTTTGGGACAGAGAGAGACAGAGCATGAACGGGGGAGGGGCAGAGAAAGAGGGAGACACAGAATCGGAAACAGGCTCCAGGCTCTGAGCCATCAGCCCAGAGCCCGACGCGGGGCTTGAACTCACGGACCGCGAGATCGTGACCTGGCTGAAGTCGGACGCTTAACCGACTGTGCCACCCAGGCGCCCCTGGATGATATAGTTATAAATGACTGAGATGAAACTCAAGGAAAAAAGGAATTATTTTTAAAAAGCAGACGTTGTGGTGGCGCTTGGGTGGCTCTGTCGGTTAAGTGTCTGACTTCGGCTCAGGTCATGATCTCACGGTTCATGGCTTCGAGCCCCACGTTGGGATCTGTGCTGACAGCTTGGAGCCTGGAGCCTGCTTCGGATTCTGTGTCTCCCTCTCTCTCTGCCCCTCCCCCACTCTCTCTCTCTCTCTCTCTCTCTCTCTCCCAAAAATAAACATTAAAAAAATTGAAAAAAATAAAAAGCAGATATTGTGAAGCTACTACTATGTTTACAGGTAGGTTTTTCATTCATTTAAAAATTCATTGAATACAGATTAAGTAAAATCTGACATTTCAGTCACCAATACATTTCAACAGAGCTCAAACCTTGAGTACATTGTGTTACAAAGACAATAGAAATGGTTAAAAATCCAATATTTACTTAACTAGGAATGCTTCTATAAAATATTCTAAGATAGATATAAGCCTGGAAATTTTGCTTTAAAATTTACGTGGAAAATTTGTAATACTCCATAACCAAAAAGTTTAGTAAACACAATAAAAAACAAAGCTAGAATTTATCAAGAAGATAAATTTTTTTGTGAATCACGTTTTGTGAATCACGTCAAATTTTATTATTATTTTATTTTATTTTTTATTTGACAGAGAGTTCGAGGAGGGGAGAGGAGCAGAGAGAGAGAGAGAGAGAGAGAGAGAGAGAGAGAGAGAATCTCAAGCAGACTCCACATTAAGAGTGGAGCCCGACTCAGGCTCAATCCCACGACCCTGGGATCACGACCAGAGCTGAAATCAAGAGTAGGATAGTCAACTGAATGCGCCACCCAGATGCCCCCAAATTTCATTTTTAATGCTTTATTTTTTTATAGCAGTTTGAGGCTTACAGGAAAATTGAGCAGAAAGAAGGGTGTCCATATGCCCCTATACTCCACTGCCAGAAGAGTTTTTCCTTTTAATAGAATCTTGCATTAGGGTGGTAGTTTTGTTTTGTTTTACAATTAACGAAGCAATATTAATACATTATTATTAAATAAAATCCGTACTTTACATTGGGGTTCACTCTTTGTGATGTATACTCTGGGGGTTCTGACACGTGTATACTGACACGTATACACATGTGGCATACAGAGTTGTGATTTCACTACTCTAAAAGTCCACTGCAAGCCACCTATCCATCTTTCCCTCCCTCTTCCCACCCCTAACCCTGGAAACCACTGATCCTTTTACTGTCTCCATAGTTTTGTCCTTTCCAGCATGTCATAGAATTGAAATCCCAACAGTATGTAGCCTTTTTCTGATTGGCTTCTTTCCTTTAGTGATATGCATTTAAGTTTCCTCCATTTCTTTTCATGGCTTGGTACCTTTTTTTTAGGCAGTGAATAATATTTCATTGTCTAGATGTACCACAGTTTATTTATCCTTTCCCTTTCCTGAAGGACATCTCCCTGAATTTCCACTTGGAGCTTTATCTAAGTAAGGATGGAGTCTGGGAATCACAGAAAGACCAGTTTAATTTAGATGAATTAAATGGAGAGTTTTGCTGCTGTTTCTGTTTTACACTATAAGAAGCCATATGTAAGTAGGCTGGTACGATGCCTTCATGATTCCATCAGGGACACAGCTGTCTCCTATTGGTTCCTCAGACACTTACAGAATAAGGCCTTGTCCTCTTGCTTTTTCCCTGAAGACCTCCAGATATTTTCTCCCCCACCCGCATTACGTCAAGAACAAGGGGGAGGCAGAGGGTGAAAGGTGCAGCACGCCAGCTAATGGTCTTCCCTGGGAGAGAGGGAAGTGGCCCTTGGCAGCAAGAACTGGCCTGGCACTATCTACCCGGCCTTGGTGTTGCTAGGAGCTGGCTTGGCACCCACAGCTACGCCTTGGAAACTGGAGGGACAGCACTAGAGATACCAGAATAATACAAAGGGTTGCAGAGAAAAGATGTGAAAAAAACCTCTGACT